CTAAATCCTAGGATTCTGTAAAAATTATCCATTACAATTAAAGTGGTATCAAAGTGGCTATAACTGGGGTACGGAGTGTATGATGTATGATACTTTGTCAATGGCAACTGAAGTGCAGAGCATGGAGAGTGACTTTTTAAAAAGCAACTCGTTCTTGTTATTTGTTGCAGTGTCTGGAAATTCTTATGCTCCTTATTGTTTTTTCATCCTTGTATGAAAAGGGTAGGGTAGGGTGTTAGATTTAGTTGGTACACTATGGTACAAACTTTAATGGACCAGAGTATAATTCATCAGCTGAATAAAGTGTAATCTTAAAGTGGCATGCTTATCTACTTAGATTTTAGGGAGGAAAGGATAAAGAGCACTGAGGTCAGAAGACAGCGAAATGCGAAAAGCAGAGGCAATACCACAATAACTGCATAAAATAAAAACAGTTACAGTAGCTGTGAACACCAAGACAGTTTGATAATAACACAAAACATTCTGATAAGAGTAACCAAATTACCATATGTAGTGTAATTAAAAAGGCAACATAATTTCCAATTTACATCACAGATGATAGAAATTACTTTTTCAATCAACTGTAAATGTAAGCTGGAGTTTGCCTTTTAAATCCCTTCTTTCAAGGATAGCAACATTAAGATCAGTTACAGAGTGTGCTTGTAGGCGGAAATGTTCTCTTACTAGTTTTCATATTCTGCCTTTTCTGCTGCCAGTTTTGTGTCCATTTATTCTTTTGTGTGCAGAGGCTAATCTATTTAGAATGCAGAAGGGCATTGTTGGCAGATCATGGCATGTATCACACTGGAAGATGAGCAGCTGAATTAACTCCAGATGCTGTGTGTGACATATTAGCTCCAGTAACAGAATGATACCAGATTAGCCAAGGGTACAAAGTTGGCATCTGGGCTTATTGCAGAGTTTGGTTCCTATGTTATGTGGGTTTTGTGCTTTTCCTCAGTGCATAGCCATTTTAAAACTAACACAGCCACCCCTTGCCCATTTTTAACACTAATAAGTTTTTAATTGATATGCTTTTATTATAATTTCATATTTTATGTGCAGTTTATTATTAAAAACATTGAATACTATTTTTAGTGGAAAGGAAGGACAAGAATTGAATAAAGAAATAAAACAAATACAAACTGTGAGCAGCCTATAATCATGTTATTAATGTATTTCTAGCAGCAGAGTTCAGGAATTTCTTTATTACAAT